GAGGTTGCCCTCGCTGGAGAGTAGCCCTGCAGTTGATCGCGTTTGCGCTCGAGGCTTTCTATGCGGTTCATCCACTTGTGGAGCTAAGTTTTCACAGATTCAATTCTAGGATACATTGATCACCAATTACCCGGAGATTTGTGGCGCATCTTGACCCTTGACGCTTGGCCATGCGCCACTTTTTCATGATTATTATCAGATGGTGCTTCAACGAGTGTCATTTTACTGCTGTATTTCAGAATGTCAGGTCTTCCATTCGTGAATGCAGCCAATGACTACAACCATAATTATTTTTAGGTTACGGTGACATAGCATGTGTGACAGTAGCTGGACGGATTCTTACCGTAATCTATTCGTGCATTGGCATTCCATTGATGCTTATTACGCTCAACGATTGCGGTAAATTCCTCTATAACAACATCAATGGTTGTGTGAAGGTTAGTTGACGTGATTTTCGAGGAATCCCAAATTTCACGAAATATCAACGGCGGTATGAAGTTGGTGTCGATCAGGAGATCCATTTCGCGGCGATACTCGACCTCACGTGCGCCGCATTCGCACCAGGACCAAAGCTATCAAGCGCTAAACTGTAACAATCTAACTGTCGAGTCAACTATGTATTTGGGGAACATTAATTTGTGCGTCTGCCTCTTGAATCTCTCGAGCAAGAACATAAGTTATTCGTCCAATCCAATACTTTGTTTGAGTGGTTCCTCCCGACTTGGAATTTTCAGCCTAACATCCAGTTACTAGTATCTCGCGTGAAACCTTACGATCAAATCCAGATCTATATTTTTTTAGAATGTCGAAAATTTTGGAACATACTTGGGTGTACTCCATATCTGTTCAAGAGGCCGAAGGAAGGAATCAAAGGCTGATGAGGTATATTTTTACTTGTCGGGGATGTGGCGTTAGATCCGGTTTTTGGCTGTGTCAAGGGGTGCTCGCAAGTTTACTGAGCGAGTGGTCTATGTATGAACCAAAAAAGTAGTAGTCACTGGGCCATAGAGGTAAACGGCTGGTTTGGTCCCAGTTCTTATGAGGGATCAACGTGAAGGTCCACCTCTATGGCTTCGCAACGCGACGCCGCGCGGCATTGCCGCACGCGACGGGGGAATAAGTAGCGTGATTGAGGCCTATCTCGTTTTTGCTTTTTTTATTGCCGGAAAGACTAGGTCAAAGCATTGCAGACTAGTAATCGACTCGAATCTACAGTATCATTTCAGCTGGATGTGGCTGAGCGAGGTGAGCTACATGCATTGGACGTGTCCTCTTTGGCTTCAGAAATTGGTAGTCTACCGTCGATTCGGGATATTGAGGAGGATTTTGAGGATGAAAGAGATCAAAAATCGCCAAGGATGAGCGTAAAGGTCAGTTCTTTCTTCGAGGGTTCATTTTTAAAATCTTAAAGCTCATTACACAAAAGGCTATCATACGATTTGATTTTATAAGAAAAAGAAAATGTGTATTTATAAGAGTGGTATTCGTTTGAAGGGATCACGCTCCCGATTTAGCGCCTCTTAGGCGCTGCGCCATGTGCAGAAGTAGAAGGAATTCTGGTATTCATCGTGTCATATTTAGGTAGCTCTGGGTATCACTATTGGCTGGATATTCTTCTGCTCGGCGTTGTTTCGTCTGTGGGAGGATTGGACATACGCTGAAAGTTGCTATTTTATGTTTATCAGTTTATCAACTATAGGTCTAGGTGATATATCGGTAGCAAGGAGAGAGTAAGTTACTAAATTCATGTTGATTTTTTGCCTCATTTATTTTCGGGTACTGGTTGAAATTTTTTTCGGGTACTGGTTGATATTATACTCCCTAATCCGCTGCGGATGCTGGGGCGTGTCGGAGGGAGGGAGGGGGAGGGAGACTGGATTTTGGACAGCGCTATCAACTGCTAAAGCGGGCAAGCGACAGAAATTGATAGGAAACGATCTGGCAGCGCGTCATACCCAGTTCCAGCATCCCACCGAAATACTGTATATCGTTTCCTGTAGAGCAGCAAGCGATATGCACCCGTTACTATTATGTCGGTCGCGCGCGGAAAGAAGTACCGTCCAGAACAAGCGGTTTTTAGAGGCGCGCAGCAGCCAAATCCGCCGCGC